TGATAACCTTTTTACATATGCCAAGTTGTTCGCGAACAGGATAATAGATTCTGGTTTGAAATTCTTGTTCTGCTTTCAGCTGATCATTGAGCGTTGTAAATAAAGGTTTAATCCATAAATTTTCGTTATGTTGACGAGTTAATTGAGCTATTTGTTCAAAACAACGATTTAATATAATGCATGCACCATCTTCATTTGCCAATAATGACAAAAAGTTATATGTTAGAAATAATCGAGCACGAACAAAATGACACACTTTTGCTCGTATACTATTACCAGCAATTCGAAATCGAATTTCTTCAACTGCATTTATCGCACCGGACGAAAGGATTGGGCCGTTTAAATTTTGAACAGATGTATCAAATAATAATAAATGCCAAGCCTAAATGATGAACAATAGAAGTTTTTTTTTTAATGGACAGATTTACAAACAACTTACTAAAGCACCAAAAGTTGCAAAATAAGCAACGTAAACTGCTGGAACATTCAATGAGTTTTCATTTATTTCACGAGTTGAAAATCGATATAATTCACCAGTTTCGCTTATGATACATCCACAATCATAATGAACACTATCATGTCTAATAATTGTACGAGCTGTCGAACCAAAGCCTATAATAAAATATGATCACAATTGATACATTCGTTTTCTTCATCGAATTGATAGAAGATAATTCTTCGTTTCTCATACTCACCAAACGTATTTTGCAATTTCAATGGTTCAAATGTAAATGTCCATAGAAAACATTGTCTTCCGCCCAACATAATCATAGCTAATAGATTGACCAATGTATGACGAATGTTCAATTCCTCTTGGTCTTGACAATCAAGTCTAAATGAATTATTAAGATAATTATCGTCTTGACTATTATTCATGTTTGGATATCCCACCATATATTGTTCTGGTTGTAAAAATGCTCGAAATATTCGTAATTCTTCGGATGACGGTTGTAAAATGTTTTCAATCACGGGTAATAAAGTATTTAGAGAGGCTAATTGACCATTACAATAATAATTATAATAAATATTTAATAGTAACATAACTTTTATTTCTACTAAATCGAGAATAGGTTGATCTGTATTTAATTTAAGTTGAATCCAATCCGATAAAGGTGCCCAACACTGTTCTTGATCCGTATTTTGTACACACTGATCAATGACTATCATTAATTCATTATAAGGTTGATGGAGTTTAGGAAAAATTGATAAAGAATTATCAATTGTTAGAGTAAATTGTATTTGATGACATAATTGTAAATAGTTGTTACGATTCGAAGTGTATTGTATTTCAAGTAAACTATGAAGATGATTCGCCCATTGAGCATTGAGACGTTGAAAACGTTCAAATTTTAATAGACTTAAAAGAAAATTCCATGATCGTTTTGATACAATTATTGATAAGAATAGTTCAACATGTTTAGATAATTTTTCTGTTTCTAATGAATCATTTTTTAGATATTTATTAATAATTGTAGTTAGAATTCTATCAACTTCTTTCTTATCGTAGTTGTCTATATTATTTTGACATAAGAATAATGCTGTCATTTGTAATAAAAAAAAATCTTGAAATTTTTGTAATAAAATCTCTGCAGATGTTTGTAAACGTCCATTATTAATCTGCAGTAGTACTGGCATAAATATTTTCTTTATAAGTGCACAGTTGACTATTTCACTAAGAGCCAATCGTTGCAGATAAAAGAAAAATAAATCAATTAATATTTGTTTTTCAGTATTAGTATTAATAACTGATGGATGATATGGTATTTGATAGTTTTCAAGATTTGTATTTGTTACACATTCAATAATAATTGATAATAAAGAAATATGATCCCAAAAATCTGTAGTCTGTCGATTTGTTGAAGTTCGATTTTGTCGTTTATATTCCATATATATGTTAGATAATTCCTCGAATAGAAATTGTTTCATTGATAATGATAATTCACATGTTGGTTGATTTAAAAATTTAAAAAGATATTTTATTTCTCGATCACATAATTGATTTTCATTTTTTAATCGTGATATAATCCATTGTTGAATATCAATCATTAATGTTGAATCGTTAATATTTTTAGTTTCAAAATATTTTTGTACAGTTTGAATAATTATTGGTAATAATTGTAAACAAATCGATACATCATTATTAACATAAGGAGAATTAATATCGTTATGAATAAGTGATGTATCTTTTAATAGTTGTAAAATAAGTTGTTTTGGTTCAGATATTGTTTCATTAAGAAAAATAAGGTAAGCTAAATTCATAAATTCTATTTGACTTTGTACACGAACAAGTTGTATATGTTGTAAAACTTTATTTGATGGATAATATTTTGAAATAAATGTATAACTGTGAATCCATGATTCAATATTATCATTAGTTGAACATAACTGACAAAGATTTTTCCATAAACAATCAAACATAAATCGAAATAAATTTTCTCGAACTTTTGAACGAGTTAAGAGATTATCATCTAAACAATTTCTATAAAATGATTGTGCTGGATCAAGACGTTCTGTTATGTGACAAGCTGAATAAAATGAAAATAAATCATTTTGTTCGTATTCGAATGATGTATAAATATGTCCAAGAAGCCATACAGATTTATTCGAAGCTGCATTTAAAGATTCATAATCATTTTCATCGATAAGTAATAACCAATTAGAAACAAATTCAATCGTCTGCTGACATTGATCAAGATTATTATTGAAATTTTTCTCAACAATGGTGCATAATGTTCGAATGGAATCTTGGGTATACGATTCAATAATGGACTGAGAAACAATATTCATCAAGATTTTATCATTGATTAATAATTCTGTTAATTTATTTCGAAATTGTTGAGGAGTAAATTCTGTTATTTCATGATCATCAAAATTATTGTTAAATGTTGTTGGTGCTCTCGATACATCAGTCTCGTTCTCTAAATAAGGAAAGTGTACTTTTTAGAATATTGATTAATCCTTTATTTCTCCTCCCCCATCCTCCCAGAGGAGGTAGCCGTTGGTCGAATGGTTATTCGTCAAAAAATTTTCGTCTAATTATAAATAGTCAAACAAAGATTTGTTGATAGTTATTTGGTCTAAACATATTTTGTTGAAAATTACTAAAATAGCATCATTTACTATTTATTTCTTTACAGTCGCATATTCTAACTGTAAAAGAATAAATACTAAATGCTACTATTTTAGTAATTTTGCACGAAATATGTTTCGACCAAATAACTATCCACAAAATATCATTCGATGAATAATCATTCGACCAACGGCTCCCTTCTCAGCACAGTAGGACTCTACTCGTATAGTTATTTTATCGGTGGCTCTTCTGGAACCACTGTAGGGGGTAAAGGGTTCAAAAGATTTTATTAAATTTTAGTTCGATTGGTTCAATTTTACATCGAGACGACATTTTCTTTTGCACTTTTATATCGAAGCTAATTGACTTAGGAGACATGAAAAAATTTTTAAAAGTATCAGTGTGGATCTTTCATATCGTGTAGACTCACATCGACAACCACGTTGACTGCCGTGTGTAAAACTATTTTGTTCAAGCAGATATCTCTCTTTCCCATATAATTGAAAGAGCAATCATGAAAAGTATGACAATGAATTCGATAAGAAAACGTACACCATGGAAGTCCTTACACTCAAATGTTTCCAAGTAGAGTTTCCTCTCTCTCCTCAAAACAAAGTTAGTTTGCGTCAAAACACATGAATACTGAGATAAGTACATTGAACAAAAATCCAAAATCTACTCTTCTATTTGATATATCATTTTCTTTTTTGCATAAATTCTTAATCACTTCCGTTCACTCCTGATTAAACTATATGACACTTGAAAAAATAAGAAACGAGCTTAAACAAAAAAAAAACTATTATAACAAACCTTCAAGACTACTCTGTTTGTGCATTAATTGTGATTTGATTTGATCTGCCAATGATTTGATACGTTGATGAAATAAGTGATACAATGGAGTTTTAGGTATAGATGAATAATGACTGACAATTTGAAATGTTCCATGAAGACTCGAAACAGTTTTATCATCATCAACAGCAGCAAATGATTTATAATCGATTAAATTCAGTAATGATTCATAACCATTTTGAACCGTTGATAATTTCATCAATGTTTCTAATCCGTAATCATTAACAATAAACTTTAAAATATTGGAAACAAAATTCGTAAATGATATTCGTATTTCGGTTTGTAATGAATCAACAAGACTAGTAAAACGTTTACCACATAGAATATCTTTTGACATTTGATACATTGAATTACAATTTTTTTGTAGTGAATTTTTATTCATAGACATATTTTTATAATAGATAGTAATTATACGTTTTTGTAATTGTGGTGATTGTTTAAGAATTTCTTTCAGACATTGTACACGTCGATTTGTACTTGTTGAAGGTTGATAAAATTCACGTGCCAATGGATTTTTGAACATATTCTGTGGTATTTGTTGATGAAATATTTGTATACGTAAACAAAAATCCCAAAGACAATCATCAAATAAAACATTCAAGTTACATAATTTATCATCGGTTGATTGTTGTTCGTCGTGTTGTTTTTTTTCGAAAGATGATGTGAAGATTTGTAACATTTTCTGAAGATGAAATGCACTTCCAGGTGTACATGTATCAATGAAATAAAAATCCCAATCATGTAAGAATATTGATGGAAAACATGATCGATGATCTAGTTCTTGCGCCGTTGAATGAATTAATAGGATGAAAAATTTGTTGGGCATTTGATTAGGCCTATCGATCAATTGTCGAATAAATGGAATATGTACACGTTGTTGTGCAATTCGTCCATCGATAATAATAATCAAAACATGTTTAGCATTATCTTGTTCATAATTTCGAAAATATTCTTGCAATACAACAGAATTTTCAATCGTTGCCTAAAATTAAAATGATTGTTGTTTTTTCGTAAAAAAAATTAATATTATGCAAAAATTTGATAAAAGCAAAGAAGAAAGTACTCCATTATTTCTTTATTCATCAACAGAAAGAAAAAGGTTATTTATGGTTAGAATTGCATCTGACAGTGATACCATCAAAAACATCATGATGATATATGAGGGAAGATCATTTAACAATAAAGCTTCGTTTGAATACATAAAGTGTGTTCTTAATGCATTTTTTAAAGGATAGAGAAAAAAATGTGTCACAAAATAGATAGAAATAAAACGATGTCCTTGTAACTACAAGCGAAATATTTATGGTTTAGGAATTACACTGATGATTAGTTTTTGATAAAGTATCTACTTTTACTATTAGAAAATGTGGCTTCTTCTCGAAGAGCTTGACATTTATTGCATTTTTCGTAATGCTCGTATACTTTTTCGTTTTTTTTAAGAATTATATTACATCTTATGCTACAAAATTCAAATTATATTGAAAGATCTTGACAATTGTTGCATGTTGCTGTCATTAAGATGTCAAAAAGACTTATCATACATGTTGAGCAAGAAGTCTGATTTAAGAAAATAATTCCAAGTTAAATTACTCCAAATCATTTAACTATACACATAGGAATTATCTCGACAGGTTTTTAATCATGAAATATAGTTTTGATAAAGTGTGAGACCATGGCGAGAAACTTATGTGCAGTACCGTTATATGCTAAGAACGATAAAGTATCTTAACAGTTAAACAAAAAATTTTCATTTTTTCCGATTTTAAATTGTAAACTTTTAACATTTCAATATGGCATTCAATATAATTCGGTATGATGAAAATGATTTCACATTCGAAAAAGAATGACTTAAAATTATGTAAACTTACTAGATTAATGACATCAATTTGTTCGTGAATACTCAATAAGTTCTGTTTTGATTCATTGTTCAAACTGGTAACAAAAGTTGATGTTCTCGTAAATATCATCACTTTTGTCGTTATAGTAATATCATTGTTTGAGTTTTGTTCTGTTAGTTCATCGGTCAATGATCGATTATTATTATCTAATTCGATTGATTGAGATGAAAGCATTCGATGAATAAAATTGTCAATATTAAAATGTTCTTGTTGATAAAAATAATTTTTGCATAATGATTGCGCAAGTTCATCTTGAAAAGTGGGTAATTTATATATGATTGATTCGGGTGATACAATTTGTAGTAATTTAGATATTAATGAAAGCAAAAGACATTGTCGAATATCAGTAGGATCTTGTTCAATAAATGTTTTTGATTGGATTGTTAATTGTGAATAATTTCGATGCATATTTGAAAGACCATAGTCTCCATTTTCATCTTTTTTAATCAACGATAAAAGACACGAATGAACTGTATTTTCATTTAAACCATAGAAATATTGTTGTCCAAAATGTTGTATGAATGATTTTATTTTTTCTTCGACCTCTTTTATTTTTGTCTGTTCGTTTTCAGGGATTTGTTTTAAATAAATCGAATAAGAATCAGTTATGCTAAACGAATATTTTTGAAAACGACTAAGAAATGGTGCTGGAATATCTTCAAATTCACTTCGTTTTATATGAATAATGCATTGAAATTCTTCATGTACAACTACATCTATTGTTTTTGGACCAATAGCAACTTTGGAAAAGATTTTTCTTGTTTCATCTGTTGCCATTATAGAAAAATTCTGGTTAAAAACGTCATAAAGCGAACCATGAATTCGTCCTGTATTAATCATTAATATTGTTTTGCCAGTTTCCATACATAGTTTTATTGTTGATAAGATTTCAACATTACGTAATTCATTATTGATATCATCTGGAAAATCTGACATGCGAAAAATAGCTGTTCGATTTGGATTCTGATTGAGAATACCACTTTGAAAAAGAAGATGAACAGCACTTTCATCATCGGACTCATCAATGATCAATTTGTATCGACCATATAAACGACGTTGCTTGAAATCTAATTTCATTGATTCATGTAAAATAGTTGGTATATCACGTCGATATTGTTGTGTATCTGATAACGAAAAACGAGAATCTGGACATTTTTCATTAACTGCAGTGAAAAAAATATTAGTTAATTTTTCGAATTCATCATGTTTTATTCCATTAAAATTATCTTCTAATGCACGCAATAAACTATGTGGCGTTATTTCACCTATACTTCTATGTTCATCTTGATGGATATTTATTAATTCGAAACGTAGTTCACGTAACATATAAATAAAATCTCGATCATGAAATATATGGGGAATCTCCGGTGACTGAAGTATTCGACGATAACCTTGACACAAACCATGAATAATGTTATTAAGTTGATTATTTATAGGGTTCCTTTCATAATTAAATTTTAAACCAAGACAACCATATGCTAAAATTTTTTGATCATCTTCCGATGGTAACGAACGATAAATACAAGTCATACGATTTGCATTAGCTGCATCAAATGATTTGTTTGCAATAGCAATAAATGCAACTTTACAATCATCTAAATATGGATGTAAAACTTTTAATATCATTTTATTTTCATTCGGCAATGAAGCTTCATCTAAGAAAACAACCTAAAATATTTTTGCATCATATATTCGCTGTTATAGTTCAAAGATAAAGATTAGAAAACTTACACAACGAGTATCGATTTGATTTTGTTCATAGTGGAGTTCACGTTTAATAGCACGTTCAAATATATAAGCAATATCATCTGAGCGAGTATATTTTGATCCAAGACAAAAGAATGGATCAATGGCTGGTAAACGTTTACAAAANAGCGTGAATGGATCACAGTCGCGGTTCCCGATTGTGCGTTTAAACGCGTTTTTTGAAATTTTTGTCTGCTTGGGAACCAACGTGCAATTTTATCTTCAAATGTTGGTAATTTAAGAATAATTGATTCAGGTGAAACAAGTTGAATTAATTTTGATATAACTGAACGTAAAATACATAATTGAATATCACTTGAATTTTGTTCAATAAATGATTTTGATTTAATATTTAATTGTGTATAATATTGATGAATATTGAGAAAATAATTTTGTTCATTTTCATTTTTTTTAATAAATGATAATAAACATGAATATAATGTATTATCATTTAAACCATAAAAATATTGTCGTCCAAAATGTTGAATAAATGTTTGTAATTTTTCTTCAATATTTTTCATAATTATCTGTTCATTTATAGAAAGTTGTTCAAATTGAATTCGATAAAAATCATTAACACTCAATGAATATTTTTGAAAACGACTTAGAAATGGTGCTGGAATATCTTTGAATTCACTTCGTTTAATATGTACAATACATTGAAAATCTTCATGAACAATAACATCAATTGTTTTAGGACCAATAGCAACTTTTGAAAAAATTTTTCTCATATCACCCGTTGCCATTATAGAAAAATTTTGATTGAAAACATCATAGAGTGAACCATGAATTCGTCCTGTATTGACCATTAATATTGTTTTTCCTGTTTCCATACATAATTTTATTGTTGATAATATTTCAACATTTCGTAATTCATTATGAATATCATCAGGAAAATCTGACATACGAAAAACAGTTGTTCGATTAGGATCGATATTAATTATTTCATTTTGTGATAATAGACGAACAGCACTTTCATCTTCTGATTCATCAATAATTAATTTATAACGACCATATAGACGACGTCGTACTGAATCAAGTTTCATTGATTCATGTAGAATAGTTGGTACATTACGACGAATTGATGGTACTCGAAAATCAGAACATTGTTCTTGAACAGCTTGAAAAAATATTTCAACTAATTTCTCAAATTCATCTTTATTTACACCATTGAAATTATCTTCAAGTGCTCGTAGAAGACTTAATGGTGTAGTTCCAGCAATACGCGTCTCTTGATCATCAGTTGTTGTTGTTGTCAATTCGAAACGTAATTCTCGTAGCATATAAATAAAATCACGATCATGATATATATGAGGAATATTCGGTGTGTTTAGTAAACGACGATAACCTTGACAAAGACCATAAATAATTGCTTGAAGACGATTATCTACTGCTTGTTGACCATCTTTAATTTGTAGACCAAGACAACCATAAGCTAATATCTTTTGATCTTCTTCGGATGGTAATGAACGATAAATACAAATCATTCGATTTGCATTAGCAGCATCAAATGATTTATTTGCAATAGCAACAAATGCAACTTTACATTCATCCAAATAAGGATGTAAAACTTTTAATACCATTTTCTTTTCATCAGGTAATGAAGCTTCATCTAAGAAAACAACCTATATAAAACAATATAAAGATATTTATTATTTAATCAAATAGAAATTTGAATTATTTACACATCGTGTATTCATGCGATTTTGTTCATATTGTTGTTCACGTTTAAGAGCACGTTCAAATATATAGGCTATATCTTCGGAACGACTATATTTTGATCCGAGACAGAAGAAAGGATCGATAGCTGGTAAACGTTTACAAAATGGTTTTATTGATAATTGTGAACCTTGTAAATTTTGTAAAACAATTTGAAATGACAATGTTTTCGATTGACCTTTAATGAAATATATATATTTTGTAATAAGACAATAGACGATGGATATTAAAAAAGAGTTCTACTAACCTGGTGCACCGATTATACACAAAGGTGTTCGAGTGACGACACTAACGACAATAGCAAATATATGTTCACGAACCTTGAAAGTAGAAAGATTTGAAATATTCTAAAAATAATAATTAAAATAAGACTTACAGCTTGATTGATGGCAACAGCATGTGGAATAACAAAATTGTCTGTATTTACAAATTTATCTAATTCAGTTTGAATAATATTAGGAAAATCTGGTATTGTTCGAGAAAGTAATTTGGCAAGTTCTTCACGTGGCGGTGTTTGTTTATCATTTCGTTGTGTATTGTCTTCTTTTGTTGGAAGTCGAAAATAGTAAATTAAAGCTAATGCTAATGCAATACATCGAACAGGATTTGGTTGATATAAATCATTGCCACTTTCAATTTCATCATCAAATCTCATCTTCCAAAAGAATTCAATTAAATTAAAACATCGTTGAATTTCTCGTTGTGAAACTGAATTTCGTCCTGACAAAAAAAAAAAAAAATTCTTAGAAATATAATATTTTTGAAATAAGAATAAAAAAATTTACCAAGATATCGTTCACAAAAATCTTGTGCGTTAAGAATAGATTCGGCAAGCATTTCTTGTGCATATTCTTCTAATGGCATTACTATTTGATTATTATTTTCGGTATTAACACGAAACATAGCAATTTTCTTGACAATATAATCTTTCAATGATGTTGGTTCTAATGTTCCATAGGAAACTTTTAAATTTTCTAATGCTTGTGGCAATTGATGTACGAGATAATCTTGTCGATGAACGAGATTATCATCACTCGGTTTAATAGATGGATTAATAGCAGCAGTAAAAAATAGATTATTCGGTAGGCTATTTCCGTGTAATGTTCGATCCATAAACATTTCTTTAAATAGTCCAAGACATGATGAAGTATTAACTTCATCAAAGAAAATAACTAATTCAATATGAGGTAATTCACGAGCTAACTGACAAATAGGTAACATGAAATGTTCGAGTTGTTCTTCAGTAACACCTGGATGTAATAATAGACGATAAAATAATGGTTTTATTTGTGTATGAATTAAATATTCATTGAAAATTTCGATTGATTTTTGTACACTTGGAGAACATGAATCATTAAGTAATGTTTGAAGTTGAAAACTGATTTCAACTAATGGATAATTGACTATTTGATTTGTAACATATTCATGTAATGCAATAATAAGTTTTTGAGTAATATTCATTGCATTTTCACTCGAAACAATCATAATCATTTTCCAAATATAACGTAAAATATCATTGTTATATTCAAAATTTCCTAATGAACTTTTCAATTCTTTTAATAATGGAAGATCAACTAGTTCTGCTGCTGA